TATTTTCTAAAAATATAATACGATAAATTTGTTTTGATTATATAATGATTATATAAGATTATAGAAATTATGACATCTAATTAAAATTACCTAAAGTCATGGAGAACTAAATGAATCAGAAAATTCATTTTTTAAATAATTTTTTATGAGTGATAATTTATATTTAATTAATAATATATAATTTTCTATTTTACTTTTAAATTATATAATTTAAAATATAATTTCAAAATAACAACATAATACATAAGAATTACCTTATTTTCTAAAAGTATACTATTATTAGTGTAAATTTATTTCAATTATAAAATAACTATAATTTTTTTGTATCTTAATTTTATATTTCTAATAGAAAAATATATTTTGAAGACAACAAATTAATATTTAAGAGTATCTTATTTTCTAAAATTTGATACTACTAATATAAATTTCTTTTAAATATAATAAATTATAATAGAAAAATATATTTTCAAGATAACAACTTAATATATAAGAAGTATCTTATTTTTTAAAATCTGATACTACTAATATAAATTTCTTTTAAATATAATAAATTATATATAAAATTATAGAAATTATGATAAATGTCAAAGTTACCTAAGATCATGGAGACAAATCAACAAATTCACTTTTCAAATTATATTTAATTATTTATTATATAAATTTTATATCTTAATTTATATTTTGATAATACAAAAATTTATTTTCAACATAAAAAAAATAATACATAAGAATTATCTTATTTTATAAAATATGAATTTATTAATTTAAATTCGTTTTAGTTATATAATAAATATAATATTTTATATCTTAATTTAAAATTTAAGTTTTATATATAAAGTATAACTCAAAATCTTAATATAATTCAAAATCTTAATATATTCAAAAATATATTTTCAAGATAACAACTTAATATGTAAGATGTATCTTATTTTCTAAAATCTTATACTACTAATATACATTTCTTTTAAATATAATAAATTATATATAAAATTATAGAAATTATGATGAATGTCAAAGTTACCTAGGATCATGGAGACAAATCAACAAATTCACTTTTCAAATTATATTTAATTATTTATAATATAAATTTTATATCTTTATTTATAGTTTTATAATACAAAAATATATTTTCAACATAAAAACATAATACATAAGAATTATCTTATTTTATAAAATATGAATTTATTAATTTAAATTCGTTTTAGTTATAAAATAAGTATAATATTTTTATATCTAATTTAAAATTTAAGTTTTATATATAAAGTATAATTTAAGATAACAACATAATTCACAAGAATTATCTTATATTCTAAAATATGATATATTAAATTCATTTTATTTATAAATAAATCATATATAAATATTAAAAGATGAGAAATAAACAAAATTATCTAAATTTCTGGAGAACATGACAAATAAGCAAATTTACTTCTTAAATAATAGTATAGTAAATATAATAAATTATATATAAATTATAGAAATTATGATAAATGTCAAAGTTACCTAGGATCATAGAGAAAAATCAACAAATTCACTTTTCAAATTATATTTAATTATTTATAATATAAATTTTATATCTTATTTAAAGTTTTTGAATACAAAAATATATTTTCAACATAAAAAAATAATACATAAGAATTATCTTATTTTATAAAAATATGAATTTATTAATTTAAATTTGTTTTAGTTATATAACAAATATAATATTATTTTTATCTTAATTTAAAATTTAAGTTTTATATATAAAGTATAATTCAAGATAACAATATAATTCACAAGAATTATCTTATATTCTAAAATATGATATATTCATATAGTTTTATTTATAAATAAATTATATATAAATATTAAAAATAAGATAAATAAACAAAATTAACTAAATTTATGGAGAACATGACAACTAAGCAAATTTACTTCTTAAATAATAATATAGTTATAATAAATATAATATTTTTATATCTTAATTTAAAATTTAAGTTTTATATATAAAGTATAATTCAAGATAACAACATAATTCACAAGAATTATCTTATATTCTAAAATATGTTATATTCATATAAATTCGTTTTATTTATAAATAAATTCTATATAAATATTAAAAATATGATAAATAAACAAAATAACCTAAATTTATGGAGAACATGACAACTAAGCAAATTTACTTCTTAAATAATAGTATAGATAAAACTGGTTATAAAGCAATTTACGCAACATAATCTTAATAATAAACTCAATCTATTCACTTTCACCACGTTATTACATAGCCACTAAATATGTTTATGTTTCTCATATATTATTAAATTTACCGTATATTTTCTAGATTTATTATTATCTTTCTTTTTTGGACACCTGATTTATTTATTATTATCTAGAAATAATACTTAGAGCATATTTGCCTTCTCTGCTCTCCGGGGGAACACCGACAATAAGCTCCGGTGTCAACTTTCAAGTCGGTGAAGACAGGTGACTTCTCAGCTCCTTGACACATGCTCTTCCCTCGCTTTGCGTCGTGTACATGGTGTGAACTGTCGAGAGTTAGCCACCGTCTTTCCTTTGAACTCCTTTTGTTTGCTGGACCTTTGTGCCTCAATGTCTTAATATTGTTGCTCTTTGTTGTTGAGTCTTTCTCTGTAATTTGCCTTGATTTTAATAATAAAAGATGACAAAAAGAGTTATCCAACACACGTAAGCTCAAAAAAACGCAACTTCTCGATTTATCAATTTCTATGGCTCTATCTTGACCACGTAATGATGCTTCTCTTATAGCATCTTCCCCTATTAATGAGTTTAAACAACCTATTTGACCGCCATATCTCTTCTTTGTTTGTTTTCAGGTTATCAAGGTCCTTCTCCAAAAAAAAAAAAAAAAAAAAAAGGTCCTTCTACAACCTCGATTTCCTGGTAAATATAATGACACATCTTGCTTACAATTTATAAACTCACTGAATATAATATTGGTCTCTATGAACTTTGTGACGGCCTGGAGAAAATATGGGCCGAAAACAAAAAAAAAATTGACTATTAATTAAAAATATGGAGTTATTATCCCTTGAACGTAGTATATCTCACACAATAAATTTAACTTTAAACCAATTACATTATTGTTTGATCAAAAAAAAAAAAAACCAATTATATTATTTAAGATATTGACAATCTAAAGACCGAAAAATTTGATAATCTAATCAGGGTCGGAAGCAGGTGTTTATATTGTTTGTACCTAGGACCACTACTGCATAACCAACAGTTGGATATTTTATAAGATACGTTACACATATACTAACCATATTATATAAAATTTAATTGGACATACGTTTCATTAAAAACAACCATATAGTATATGCGGTTGAATGGTTTTCATCCAAAAAAACAGTTAACATACCTTTTATGAGAATATAATTACTATGTAAAATATACAGAGTATATGGTCCTTATATTTAGTAGCAACCAATATTTTTTTTTTGTCAAATTTAGTAGCAACAAGTTTTTTATACCAACAACATTAATTCAACCGATAGGGTTTATTAAAAAAAACATTAATGGATAACTTAATAATAGTATGTTATAATACTAATCTTCCTATTATTTTATGTAAATATGTTACAAATTCTGTTATTCCTCATAGTAGATTTAACAAATTATATACAAAGGATATTTCGACAGCCTCAAAATTTTAGAGAAACAACCGTAGTATAAGACATAGATTTAGAGTATTAGATCCAACAATAACAAGATTCAAATATAAATAGTTTAATTTGGTATATTTTCTAAATTCTTATTTTTATTTTTTTATGACCACGTCATTTTTACAGAGTATGAGTTACATAAAATAAGATGAAAATTTTCTAGAAAAAAACTCTATCATCTGGTATATTTTTTATGAGAGAGAAAGAAGTTAAAATGTTTTATATTCTACCTATAAAAGCATGTGTAATGGGGGATTATAATGAATCCTTAGCATGTAATCCTTAGCTATTAACCTATTACCATTAAACTAATAATATAACATGGGAATAAGCTGAGGATGAGTCCCTAATTAAGAGCATCAGCATTAATGAACCCTATGGTTGGGGTTCACAACTGAATTTTTTATTTTTTTTTTCGTTTGATTTTTTTTTTTAAAAAAAATTAAAGTGACCTATAGCGGGCCGCCACGTGACATGGGGTCCGTGAAATAGTGATGAACCAGGTTCATCATACTGAACCTTCACGACACAGGTTGTACCCCTAATGTGGCTGCTTTAAGAATTAAAATCATTGAATTCTTGTTGACGTGGCAGCTCTCTCCCGGAGAAGAAAAAGAAGACAAAGCTCGGAGAGTTGTTGATTTCGTCGGAATCATCGATATTTGAAATAAATTTAGTGATGAAAATTAAAAATTATTGTATCTTTTATATTTAATAACTCAATAAATAAATAAATTAATTTCACATTTTAAAAAATTAAATATTTTTTATTGCTAAGAATTCCAAAATAGAGAACAACATTGGACATACAATTTGGATTAGAATCCTTAACTATTCAAAAAAAAAAAAAACCTTAATAATCTTAATTAAGGACTCAATGGGTGAGTCCACCATTATAAATGCTCTAAAGATGTCTTTTTCAATTGTTCTTGTTGTTACCTATAAAGATGTCTAATGGGTTTAGAAATTATAATTAAACAATTGAAAACATAGGGTTTCATTAAACTCAAACTAGCAACATATTAGATTGTTGTCGACAAACTTACAGCCGACACTAGTAACAGTGAAGCTCCAAATAACCTAAATCTAATCTAATTAAAGTGTAATACTTTTGTTCGTAGGTTTTGTAGATCAAAGAAACATATCCCGCCTGTCGTATCTTTTATCTCTTTGAAATCCGAATATGTCATATATATTATTGAGAAAGACATACAAACAAACAAGAGGAGTCCTCTATTACGTAAAAGATAACTCTCCCAAAGAAACATTTGGTACGTCGTGCATTAATTATTTACATATTGCCAGGCCGAAGAGCCTTTATTCCTCAGATAAGAGGTATCCGTCGACCTCTTTAGTCACTTCGACCAAGAACTGGAGCAAATCCTCAGGGTGAGCAACCTTCTCATCAATCCTCTCGTACTTCACGTTCCACTTCACCATACTTCCTGGTCCTCCGTGGTTAGGGCTCACCTTCATTGTTTTCAAGATGCTGTTGAATTTTGTCTTCAGTGGTCCTTCTAACACTCTCCACTGAATCACTTTCTTATCAAAATCCATCGTCTCGATCCTATCTTTCGACGCTCTTGCCTCTCCATCTAAACCAAAACATGTTTTCTTGGGATAGAAATCAAAGAAACAAGCAAAACATAAAATCGTTTAAAATCTTATGTTCCGCCTATATTCAAGTCCTTGTATGATCTCACCACCATTTGCAACAAAACAATAAAATAAAAAGGATATAGTGATGCCATTACCAAAAATTAGTTTCCACAAGACTATGCTTCCAACCATGCCCCAGTCCCCTTCGAGCAAATCACACCCCTGAACGTAGCCAGTGGCTTTGGGCACATGTTGTAATCTTCCAACGAACATGTGGAACTTATTAGCCGGAGACTTGATCTCCACGTCTACCTTGACTTCCTCCTCTACCATTCTTTCTCCCGTTGCTTTGTTTCTCAAGGTCACCTATTAGATGGATGTAATGGATTTTCAATGTGAATGAGTACTACCCTAAAACTCCTTTTATAGAGACATTGGATGAAGAATATTAACGAGGAGTGGTATAAAATATTCGGAAAAATATAACTGAAAATAAATTCTGCGCTTTAAAACACGTAAGTTTACAATTAAATCAACATATTTCTTTTCAATGAAACTTTGACAAGAAAATAAAATATATGAAAAATGTAGGAGGGTTGCATAAACACAAAACATATTTGTACCATAAATGAATAATATATATGAAAGCAACCTATCCATCTTTTCTAATTTATATTTCATTTTCTTATAATCCGAAATATCTGAAAGGTCAAGTCCCAACCGACTAATCTTTGGGAATCTGTTTACCAGTACCAGATAAACTTGATAGCTTGTAATAAGAAAAAAATATCAATGTCATCTGACCATACAAATGGATATATCTTATTAAGATGATAAATTTCAAACCCGAAATGTTTATCACCTTCCAAACTCGTCTTATCACTCGACCATTTGTGTAATTGACTAACTAATAAGTTCGTTAGTAATTAGGTATACAATATAAAAATGTTGGCTTTCATGTTATTAAATTTTTTCAACATATTATCACTTTTCCTTTCTAAGAATATTGATATTCATTTCATTAATCAGATTTTAGTAAAATATAATTTTATATATGATAAAAAGTTATCGTATTTAGAAAGGAGGAGAATTTAGGAATAAAATATACTCAAAAGGAAATTTTATTTTAAAACTTATTATTTTAATTAGTTTTTATATAACGTATTTATAGAAATAACCATAGAAATTAACTATTATAAATAAATAAATTAAGATCAGACATTTAATGAATAAATTATAAAACTATTTGTGACTCATTTATATAATAGCATACTGTACTAGTATGTACCAAATATTAATTTCAAAATATGTTATAAAATTTAAAATTTTAGTAACAGTTTTATACAACTCTCTTTATATGTATGTTTTGGTGATATTTTTTTGTATTTTTATTATTTTCAGAATAAATATTTTTAAATTATTATTTATTAATGTAATCGTTAAAACTAAAAATTAAATCTACAAAACTAAAAGCATCATTAATTTTTTTCAAAAAGTTACTATATACCGCAAAATCAAATAACTAAAAGCCTGAAAGCTTCGAATTTTAAATCTACATGGCAATCATGACTTTTTAGACCTGAAAGCTTCGAATTCGTCTCGTCTATACATCTACTAAACTTTGAAGCATATCCATCTAGAAATTTTATATCTTCCTTCAACCATCGCAAGAATTCTATTTTTTCTTCCTTTGACAAGCGAAATATCGGGACCGGCATCGTTCCATCATCTTTGATATGTAACTCTTGCCTTCTGCACAAATCAGGTAGATCCATCCTCAACTTTGCATTGTCTTTAGTCTTCCCAGGAACATTAAGCACAATGTTGATAAGATTATTAAAGAAATTCTTCTCAACGTGCATGAAGTCGATGTTGTGGCGAAGAAGAAGGTTTTCCCAATACGGCAATTCCCAAAAGATACTCTTCTTCACCCAATTGTGATCTTTACCGTAGCCTTCTATGTTGCTTGCAGGTTTCTCGTGTCCGTTACCTCCACATTCAACCGTTTTCTTCAGCCCTTCGATGTTGTTGATTCTTTCGTAGTAAATTTCTTCTCCCGTCAACCATGGTGGAGGATCATCACTTACTGTCTTCCCCCTTCGAAACGCTTGGACATTTCTNCGAGACAATATGGACAAGATAAACGACCATGAGTCATCCAACCTGACATCATGCCATAAGCAGGAAAATCATTAATTGTCCACATTAATGCAGCTCGCATCTTGAATGTTTCCTTTCTCGAGATATCGTATGTTTCTGCTCCGTGACTCCACAAACTTTGTAATTCTTCAATTAGCGGCTGCAGATAAATATCAATGCTCTTCTTTGGATGCCTTGGCCCGGGAACTAAGACTGATAAAAAGAAATATTCTCTTTTCCTACACATCCCAGGAGGTAAGTTATACGGAGTAACAATTACTGGCCACACCGAGTGTGCTTCACCACTCATACCAACTGGGTTAAAGCCATCTGTTGCTAAGCCTAGATATATATTCCGACTTTCTTCAGCGAAATCAGGATATACCTTGTTAAAATGCTTCCAAGCTGCTCCATCAGAAGGGTGATGCATTTCTCCTTC